TGGATGCAAGCCAGTGTTTTGCTCGCTTTACTAGCCTCAACATCGCACTGAAGGCTCATATTCATCTTGTGGTCAGTCATGACCCCCAAGTTCCTTTCATCTGTAGTGTTAACCAGCATAGCACTGCCAAACCTATAAGGATGCTGCAGGTTTTTCCTCCCAAGGTGGAGAACCTTGCATTTTTCGGTGTTAAACACCATCAGGTTCTCATCTGCCCATTTTATGAGCCTGTCAAGATCTGCCTGGATCACCTTCCTGTCCTCAGGTGTGGATGCTTTACCCCAGAGTTTAGTGTTGTTGGCGAACTTGGCCAGTCCGCTTCTGACACCAATGTCTACATCATTGATGAAGATGTTAAATAGTACAGGCCCTAGGACAAAGCCTTGAGGCACCCCACTGGTCACAGCGCACCATGACGATTGGCTTCCATCAACCACCACCCTCTGGGTCCAACCACAGAGCCAATTCCCCACCCAGTGGATCGTGGTGAGGTCGAGGCTGCAGTTTGCCAGTTTTGCCAAGAGGTGATGATCATGGGATACGAGATTGAAGGCTTTTTTGAAGTCAAGATATATGACATCAATCTCTTCCCCGTTGTCCAGGTGCTAGGTCATGTGGTCATAAAAGGAAATGAGATTGGTCAAACAAGACCACTCGTAACAAACCCATGCTGGCTATCCCTCAGGATGTTGCCATCAGCCAGTCTGTTAAGGATGGCCTTATATACAACCTCATTTGGGAAAACATCAAAACAGGTGAAGAAACAAACAAAAAATAAGCTAAGGCAACCCCTCACCCAAAGCCTTAAGTATTTTCTTAATAAAAATGCGAGGTCAAGTTTTGGAAAAAGGAAAATAAATTATCACCTATGGAGTCCTGGAGTAGGTGGGTTAGTTTGCTGTTTCGATAAGGAACGTGAGAGCGCTGCTCTGATATTGCTCCAAGGACATCCGACAGAGCAGACAAGCTACGATTAATGAATGAGGTCTCTCTCAGGGCTGCTCCAGTCACTCCAGACATGCCTAATTGAGTAGAAAAGAAAATAATATGAATAAGTCAAAGCTTCTTTGCTGGCTGTAGGCATCTATGTACAAAGGCTCTACGTACAGCATATCGTTTATCTAACAGCTAACATTTTTGTTTTAATAACACATTTAAAGATAAATGCAGAAATGTAAGCTGAGGGCTCTCCATCTTTGAGGCAAAATGCAGCAGCTGCTTAATTACATAGTGACACTGCATTGTTGAACAATATGTAGCAACACTCCACTTCTCAAGCAACATGCTGAGGGATCTTCAATGCTTGGCCACAGTGCAGAATCCTGATTTATTTCTCATTCATAAGAAGACCTTACTGGCTGTACCATATACCCTGTGTCCATACATAATGTGATTGGGCCATTGATCCAGGTCTTGTTCATACTCAAACTGCCAGAACTTCCAGCACTAGACAGCTGCCTCCACTGTTACACTGCCAGAGCCTGGGCATATCTATGCATTTACAGTGACTCCACCAGCTTTGTAGTGTGAAGTGCACCCTGGGAGGCACCAGCTGCTGAAGGGGCTATTAAAGAGCAGAAGTCTGAGAATGTTTGTGCCTGCCTTCTAGTTGACAGAGAACAGTAAAAGCCTTGCAAAAAGGATGGTTTAGCTGTCTTCGCTAGGAGCCTTTGGTACGGAAGCACTATTCAATGTTTTGCAAGTAGTTCCGCAAGTAAAAAAGTAAAAACTTTGTAGTCCAGATCCCGAGAAAAGACCCGAAGACAATTCAGCAAGACAGTGCTCTAGAGCCGTGGGACTCTGGCTCCAAATGAGTCTGAAGTAAGATCATATACCATTTCCTCCAGTAGTCATCTATTAATGGATATCTCCCAGGCCAGAAAAGAAAGTGGCATCAATCTGCTTAATTGATGGGATGCCAGGTCAAGATGACAAGGACCATATGCTGGACATGAAGTCGGCTGTTAATGTGATGGTTATTTATATTTTAAAAGATACAGAGAGTCATGGTATAATCCCTTGTAGTAGTTTTACATGAAGGGTTGCATTGTCCTTTGTGTTCTGGCTCCATGTAAAAGAAAGCACATGGTTGCAGTGCCCCAGGAGCAACCTAGGAAAGGAACTGTGCCTCTATGGCTTAGTCTGCACAAGTTTAACTAAATTGATACATCTCAGGCCTTTAGTTGTATTTGTGCAATTCTATGGGTAGACAAGCCCTAGAAGAGACAATCCCTTCTGCACTCCTCTGTGGCTGCTGCTACTGGGGTAATAATGTGCTGCCAGTACTTGTCAGTACCAGAGTACCAATCTCCTTCATTTGCCATGATTGCAGCAGAGACACAGAAATCACATACAGATGATGGTGGCAGGGAGGAAGGATCTTATTTCCCCTTATGGCTTTACGTGACGGCTGAACCAAGATCTGACTTGCCACACTTGCCCAAGTTTTCAAAGTGAACTCCTACCCCTTAGGATAGATTTATAAGGAGGTTTGATAGTGTTCTCTAAGAACTAGCAACTTGGCTCACAAACAACAATGTGAAAATGATTACAAAATATCATTCTGGATGACTGTAAAAATACCTATCAAGCTGAAGGGAAATGGTGCTTGTAAACAGTGCAGACATGCAGGTAATCCTGACAAAACTGTTTTTCATTTAACTTTGCTCAAAACCTCAGTGCTCAGAAGATACTGGGTTAAAATCTGCTCTCTGGTAAAGCAGTCTAACTCCAAGGTAATTTTAATGTGTTTAGATTTTCACCACCAGAATTGACAACAGAATCTAATCCGCTGCATATGTTGGACCAGATCTTTGCTGGTATAAATCAGCACCAGCAGACTGAGGCTACTCCAGTGGGGTTATATCACTTTATACTAGCTGAGGATTGGGTCCAGTAAGTACATAAAATAGCACATGCCTGGACCCTGCTTGAGTGGAGGGAACAGACAAACATGTAGTACTGCTCAATTTCATGTTTATCAAATAGTTTCTAAAACTGACAGCATATTAAAAAAATAACATATCCCCTTATGTTTTTTTATAGAACAAAAGTTAACAGTGACCAGAAGAAAGAGCTCTTGGCAGTAATGTAAAGGACTCTTTCATAATACGGGTTTTGTTTTCAAAACATTATTTCTGGAATGGTACATTTGGCTGCATGGCTTTTCTTAGTAAGAAAGCTTGTCCTTTAGGAAATAATAAAGTTTTAAAAATTATTGTGCACATAGAAGAGGAGGAAAAGGAACGTGCTGAATAAACAAAGGAAACAGTATTATCTTTTCAACACACCAATTTCCTTCAAGATTTTTTCTCAAGTAGGCAGGAAAACCACACACAGTGACATCAATCATTATAGCATTTAGTATAGTCAAATAATTCATGAACACTTTTATGAAAAATAAGAATATGCTAATTTTTTTACATATATATGAACTACACTACTCTATTATACAACTGTACAGAACAGTCTGAACACATGCTGTACTTACCACAGTACTACTGTGCTACTACTATGCTTGCCTGGGCCCAAGTCTTTGCAGTATTACTTCATTTTACATGGTATTTTCAATGACATAATATCAGCATAAAGCTGGAATAATACAGTGGTAAATCAGATGCAATGGCATCAGTACAGTCTGGATGCATGAGTCTAAATCGCCTTCTGTGAAGAAGTAGGGTAACACAAGCCCTTAGTTAATAAGCTAAACCCGGCTACTCCCTTTCAAACAATCATGCCCATAAGTCAAAACAGCATTGTCATAAAATATATATGCTCACCAACACATTCACTGCCAGCCAAATCCACCAGCTGTAATTTAGTCTTGATGTGCTTTGGTTTCTCAGTGGGCTCGGAGTGTGCTGGAGAAGCAGCTCTGGAAGAAAAGGTGGTTTTATCTTCTCTTAGTTGTTGTGGAAAGGTGCAGAAAAGCTCTTTACTTAGTTTCTGACTAGACTCTTCATCTGCCCACAGGGTGCCTGGACGAAGGAAATAAACAAATGAGAAGAGCTTATTTGTACCATCACAAAATGCAAAGCAAAAAACACAGCAGTGATGGGTTTGCCCAGAGCCTTCTGTTTCAGATCACTCTGTAGGTCAGTATTTATGCCTGGGGGAGCCCAGCTACTCAGATCCACAAGTCTGGAATCTGTATCTACTCTAATTCAGATCACTGCCCACTGGGGAGATATCAATTAGATACCGCAGCTGGTTCTTCATTACATTACTTAATATCACCCCCACCTCTGTGTTCACTGCTTGGTGGAAATAGGAAATGTTAGTAGTCTAGTCCAGCGGTTCTCAACCTTTTTTGTATCAGGACCCATTTGTAAACATTGATGGCCAGTCTCGACACAGTGCCCCTCACTGCTGCTCCAAGCCCCAGCCCCTCAGTGTGTAGGTTGGGGGGGTGGAGTATGGGGGACCCCCCAAGTAGTCCTAAGCAGCCCCCTGCAGGCTGGAACAACCTGCAAGGGAAAAGCCATGGCTTCCATTTTTTCTCCTTTAAAGGAGAACCCATTTTTAAAGTTTGTTGATCCATTTTTAAAGTCTGTTCACAACCCTTTCATGTAGTCTTGAGACCCACTTGTGGATCGTGACCCACAGGTTAAGAAACACTGGTCTAGGAGACTACTATGGGCATTCAAACAATACAAAACTGTTGCCCATCATCAGTCCCTTAATTCCTGCAGACTAGGGCTCTGTATCATTAGGACCATGAAGCTCTACAGCCATTTCTAATGCTCCTGGTCCTTTGTTTGCTGCAGGTTGGGTCAGAGAACTACTTCTCCTTCTCCTGCTTCTCTGGCCTTCATTACTATTCAATCTGGAATGCAGAACTCCTCTGCTCTGTCTCACTGCCATCTCTCTTCTACATGTGCCTGATGAACCATAAGCCACATCCACAATACCTTTGCTTGTTCAGATAGCCCTGGTAGTTCAGCAGCTGCCAAGGAGGGTCTCAGAGCTCACATTCCTCCCCTCCAAACCTTTGAATTCTGGGCTTTGATTGAGGCTTGAGAGGGCAGGAGGGCATAGAGAATATATGGTAAATTTCTTTTTGTGTTTGCTTCACCCATCTTGGCTAAGTGAGTGTGTCTTCCCCAGGTGGCAGGGATACAGGTAAAAGTGCTTCTAGTTGGCAGCAGGGATGTACTTGGTAGCCGCGTTGGTCTGAGACCAAAAGAAATGCAAAACTCTACAATTCTTCGTTCAGAGATGATACCTTTTATTAGACCAACTAAGAAATTGCAAAAAAATTATCTTTTTCTTTCTAGTTGGCAGCTTAACTTCCGTCTTGATTCTTCAGCATCTTGTTGTTTATTTACTAGTTGCCTTCTGGTCTGAGATAAGAAAGCACCCTGCTCATAACACAGTAGGTCAGAAAATACTGCTTAGCCTGCAAACTGCAATGGACTGTGGGGATACTTGAGCCAGCTCTAAACTGGCTTGCTTGGGAAATACTAGCAGTCTAACAGTGGCAGTACAGAAGCAGGACAGACAGCAAAACCCACCTGAGAAGCAGAACAAATGAGTCTGCGCAGAGCTCCATGCTAAGGCTAGATTGTTACCAGGTCCCAAGCTAGTACATTTACACTGCAATCTACAGTGTTGATTTTACCCACTGAGACAAGAGCAGCTGCATTGGCTTACACAGATAAGCCAGGCAGACTGAAAGTAAATCTTTTCCCTTTCCCACTGTGGGGCAAGGAAACAAAACAACCTCCTCTCCACAGACACTCACAAGAAGATTTGCTGAAACAAAATCGTAGAAAAGCTTAGCTCAAGCTGGTGATGTACCTCCTAGCTAGCCATGCCTTTAAGCATAGAGTTAGCTTCCCTTCCTGCAGCTTCCTGTTTTTATCTACATCTTGGGCCTCCAGTGCCTATGCCTTTGGCAAGTTGCTGCATCTGGATCTTCAGCAAGGAGTGGCTCTTCTTAAAGAGACAGATTGTGCTGTCATAGTTATATCTTGAGGTTCCATCTTCGTAGTGCTTCTTTACTTGCTATAATGCTCATTCAGTTGTCTTAACTCGTACACTGTGATCCTGAAACCTGACCGCCTATAGATAACATAATGCAGAAAATTCTAACTTTGTTGCAAGGCTCAAAGAAGTAGCGTGGAGTAGCTGGTGTTCCATGTCAGCTAACAAACAGCACCAAAAATCCTGAACTAAGCAAGGTGGCTAGTGGGTTAACAGTGTGAACACACTGAAAGTAACATCTGCCTGATTGACAAGGCTCTATAGCTGAAGAAATCAAACATCTGGAATGCTAAAGCTGCAGCATCTGAACGAGTTGTGTCTTTTGGCAGGGGCTGCAGGTAAACCAGGGCACTGTTTGTTCTGTTTTGCTAATATCCCCTGTTTAATTTCCGATAGGGATTTAAAGGGGAAAAAAGTTAAAAATATTTTCCATTTTCTAAAACCATGTTATTGTTGCAAGACGGACCACAGCACTGAAAATGAAGAGTCTTATTACAACAAGCAAAGAGAGAAAAAGAAACAAAATTAACCTCTGAAACATTCCATCTAGAGAGCAAGATGGTGGCAATTCCTGATGCAAAAATTAATAGCAAGAGTGAATACATACACACACATATGTATAACTTGTATGTATTTACAATTTGCCTATACACACACATACACATATATGTACATATACATATAAATAAAATGTGGGAATACAGGTTTTACTATAGTAGATAAGGCTGCCAGTTTGTCTTCTTTGGTAGCAAGCAGTTATTAATATTGCAGAGAACAGTGGAAACTTCCTGAATTAATCTATCTAGTTCTGCAAGGCAATCTGTAAATGGAAAATCCTTGCTGTCCTTGGTAGTGGTCAGCATATGCCCTGCAGCATGTCTGCTTTACCACAATATTTGCATGTATAATTAAATAACAATTATTTACGAAGTTAAGCAGCAAAATTTTCATTTTTATGCCTGTTACCTATGCCATTGTTTCACACTGAAACTCCCAAAGTACTATGTTATATGATGTAAGAGAAGTGCAGAAGTTCTATGAAAACATTGAACAAGCTGAACAACTATCACATACTAATTAGATTGGTGTTTGGAAAAGCAATTGAAAAGAAACAGGAAAGATCAGGGAGCAGAGATTAAATGCTATAAAAAAAGATCGTTAGAATGAAGGAGAGAACAGTAAGAAAATCCTTCAATCCAGAGACAACATTTCAGAGACATGGAGATATTTTAACAACATTCTACTTACCAATGCTATCTCCCAAGACAGTCATGGCTATGGTCAATGTAACTATCAGATGAGAACGAGAGGAATGAGCATGCACCAATGTTGGATGTTTGACCCGTAGCTGTAGACCTTTATTAACTAGCTGCAGGAATTCAGCAGCATTTTCAACAGTCCTACCAAGATAAAAGTTTAGTTGATAGGAAAACTGGAATTAGAAATCTGGGAAACTAGACCTGGACCTAATAATTTCCTTTTGCTCCTCCTCCTACCTCTCGCATTGTTGTTAACCTGGTTTTGAAATTGTTCTTTTGCCAGTGTTTAGGTCCACAAATGTCTGCTGGACAGACCCTTCCAGCTAGGGCACAAGGCATTTCAAGCCAAGATGAAGCCGTCTCATGAGCAATAGGCTGGTGGAAATAATCTGAATGCTACTTTTTACTTTTGGTAAAAAGACAAAAGTTAAGCTAAGAGCTTCCTGAAATGTTTTATCATACTGATGTATAATTTACCTGTTTATCTTACATTAAACTCATGCCACTTCTACTCCTATAAGGGTACAGAATTGGGATAAAATAGTAGAAATACCATTTCTTGCGACCTGTGGAAATGACAATTCACCTTTGGAATAAATTCTCGGAAATCAAAAGTAATATCCTAATCCGAGGGAAAAGTTCAGTGCTATTGTTCCCTGAGCAGGCCTCCCCACTTAGGAATGCTCTTAACTGAAGTAAATGCTCCAGGAAGGACATTCTGATTGACACGAAGAATGGAGACAAGGACTTGAGAAACTCAGGAGGAGGATTTACCAGACTGTATAATAAGCTCCCAGGTGGGACATCATCACTTAATTGGCAGCATGTTTGTCAATGTGACTGACATTTGGGATGTGAACACAAACACTTAGGAAAAGGTTTTTCTTAAGAGGAGTCCAGGGCACTATCTGTGGCTGCTAATTTAATTTTCAATTATTTAAAATTAATCCCGATAAAACTATTTTACTTTAAGTGTCAAAATGATGTACTGGCCTTTACAGGAACCATAGACTTCTTGTTCCAATAAGTACAGGCAGTCCTTGGACTTACGACACAATTGGTTCCTGAAAACTGTGTCTGAAGTTGAAACATCGTAACTCGGAACCAATTTTCTCATAAGAAACAATGTTATATATGGGGGATTGGTTCCTGAACCTAGGCCCAATACCCTATTTTCACCAAAAATACCCCAGAATTTTGTACTCGATCAATTATAGATGAGTAATATAGCTACATTAATGTATTTATATTGTAAATAGCAATCATATTGATTTGGATGGACTTCTTTGAGGTGACTTTGCTGGACTTTTTGAAGGGCTCTTGGCTAGAGTCTTCTCAGGAGTCTTGGCTACAGGTTTTTCTGGAGTCTTGTCTGCTTTCTTAAAGAAAGTGTCCAAGGAAGTTTGGACAGATGTTCTCCAGGGAGATGAGCAACGCAGCTAACTTGTTCGCTGCCACTGCATCGCATCGGATCAAGTGTTGTAAAGTCGAAACTGGTGTTGCAAAGTTGAAACAGGGTGTCAATTTATAAATGTTGTAACTCGAAATGTTGTAAGTCAAGGACTGCCTGTAAATTAAATCCATATCTTAGAGTAGGTGTTTGATTCCGATTCTTTTCTACCAGAAAGAATTGTGGGAGTGGCGATTTTTTAATGCGTATGCCTGCCAGGAATGGAAAAATAGCATTTGCTGGATCCTGAGAGAAGCTACGCGAACAAGGACCCATAACTCCAAATACTATGATTATGCAGTGCCAGGTGGTGCCATGGTAAAGCATGTTAGATTAGCTCTGTATATGCTAGTTCCAAACTGGAAGCGGGATAGCTGTGTTAGTGCAGTGCTGCATACAGGGTGAAAAGCAGAGGTATTTTCTTCAAAAGCAGGGGGTTAGCTGCCCAGCATTTTTGAGAGTCTTGATTCTGATTATTCACAAGGTAATGGACAATATTAAAGGAAAAGTCCTAAAACAAGTGTGAATTTTCTGGTAAATTAAATTTACCTGCAGTGAGCTTAATTTATCAAAGTTAATGGCAACACGATTCAGCAAAATCATAGTTTTGTTGATTCATAACAAATCGCAAGAGACACAAGTCTTGTTCTCTTTGTATATTCGTTCAGCCTTCTCAGGTCTACAATTCATTCCTTTTCAACACAAAAACAGAAGATTAAACAAACAAGACACTCACTGGGTCTGGAATGCCTTCTGGCTTTAATTAAGAGCCCCTATCACTGTCTTTCTGGCTTCTTTTATTTCAGCTCATTCAAAGTTTGAGTAAGGAATACTAGTCTCTTCTTTCCACCCCCCCTTTAAAAAAAATGAGAAAGACATTTTAACTCTGTGCTTGTTCCACAGAACTACTTTACCAGTCTCCTGAAAAATGGAGACTTTACCTAATACCTTAATCTGTACTATTTTAAGTGTTGGATCCTGTGAGTCCCAAACAGAGGTGACCCAAGCAGCGTGTGGGGCCCAGGACAAATCAGCCCACGTGGGGCCCCACTCCTGCTCCAGTCCTGGACCCAAAGAAGCATTGGCACGCAGGGGCGGTAGCGAGCGGCTGGATGCAGAGCCACTGCCGAGCCCAGCTCCATGCTGCCGCTGCTCCGTGGGGCTCAGGGCAGTCACCTCGATTCACCCCCCGCAGGGACGGTCCTGATCCCAAGTTAAATTTATTGGCACTAAACAGAAACATTTATTTAGAATTCAGATGTCCCTTACTGGCCATCTTTCCATAAGAAAGGCCTCTTTTGCCTTTCTGTTTTGTCTATGTATAGCAAGATCACAAAAGAAAAAAAAAAAAAATCACATAATCAAAAGAGAATCTATATAAAATTAAATCTCTTATTCCAGAGGGCAGATCTGGAGGCCAGATCGTGGGGGTTGGTAGCTCACCCATGTCAAACATTTCAATTACAGTCTACAAGAGAAGAAATCAGAAGGAAATAATGGTCTGAAAGCTTTTGAAGTTGGAACAGGCAATTATATATAGACCATGAAGTGAAGATGATGATGATGATGACAAAAGTTTATTAAAAACAAATCAAATTAATCTTCTGCAGTGAAGCGTGGGTTCAACTAGTGTTTGTAAAATTTTATATTTTCAGGTTGTCTGAGGCAAGTGACGAAACATTTTTCTCTCTCTCTTTTTTCTACATCGTACCTCAGGTCCCCTAAAAAACTTTCCTCCTGTGAACTTAAAAACAGATTCCTCTAACAAAGACTACTGGATATGCCCTTTACCAGGTAAATCATGTCTCATGCTTATAATGGACACTGTAAAGAGAGAGCTAGGAACAACATAGATCCATTAATTATATTCTAAAAAGATTTGCTTTTTTACAGAGAGGCATCAGAACACGATCAAAGTCATTTTGGGGAATTACTGCGCTATTATAATTAATCAGGACTGTAGAATATATACAGTGACGAGGCAGACCAAGTAAATTGTATTAGATATGGTGGTAGCAATAAGCAAAGCTAAGTTACACTGTTACAATGAAATAGCAATAGGGCCAAGCAACAGAGATCATGAAGACGTGGATTAAAAAAATAACTGTAGGACTTTGCTTTTAATGGACGCAAGGCACAAATACAGAGATTAAACACATAACAAACACAAAGGGTTTATAGAGGTTATTTTATCGTAAACTATCCAGCCTCTATTTCTGGTTGAGGGAAATAATGAAAACATTGCCCAACCGAAGGGCAAGAAAATAGATAAAGATATTAAATCCAATTGATTAGATAAAGATGAAGAGCAAAGCTTTGCCCTGGAATCTGGGTTAGAATCTGAAAAACTCATGATTTGTTTGCCAATAAATTTGCCATCTCACACTTCTAACCCTTCTCTTGCTTCCTCTGCTTTTTTCAATAATCAGCTTTCTTACATGACCTTAATATACTTTCTGGCAGCAAGAAAAAAATATTATTCTTGAATATCAGATGTTAATGAATGCTTTACAAGGTACTGCTTAGATCATATGCATTACTGAAACCATGGAAAATCCTAGGGCAAGGCTGCCAGCTAAGGATTTGATCCTGTACCATTAAAGTCAATGGGAGTTATGACACTAACTTGAACAGGAGTGGGGTGGTTTTGTACAAAGGATGCAGCATCACGGAGGCCCAGATTTCACATTTCAGTGAAAATTGAGACACAAAAATATATTTTGTGCTAAAATGCTTGAGCTAGACATGATAAAATACATTAAGATGATTAAAATATATCCAAATACCATACAAGGTTGCTGTGACAGAGATACTTTGAGCTGTGTAATGACCCCAATGAAGCATTATCTTAGAGGTGACCAAAAGCAAGTTGCGCTAGCCATACCCCATTCTCTAGCACAGCGGAGGCCAACCTTTTAGGCATGTGTGCCATAACTTGGCTCCCATCCCATCAGTGCCACTCCAATCCCCTTCCCCTGCCTGCTTTGCTTTCTGCTTCCTCCATATCTGCCACTGTGCTGTCCGTCTCTTCCCTAGTCTTCCACATGCCATATAGGGAGGCTGCTCATGCCACTTGTGGCACACATTCTGCAGGTTGTCCACCCCTGCAGCACAGCCCCACTGCAGGAATACTAGGATGGGTGGTCATTCCAGCTTCTTGGCCCTTGTGGCTAAAACCAGAGGTTGGATTTATCCCAGGACAAAACAAAACCTTTTATCTTAACATCCTACAGACAAACAAATCCACTGCCCCACTTTAGGCAGACAAGGTTTTTTGAGTAGATGTGATATCTTTTATTAGACCAACTGAGTAGTTGGAAAAAAGTTTGTGGCAAGCTTTGGGGCACAGTCACCCTTCTTCAGATGTAGGGAATCTGCTGTTTGGAGTCTCTGAGAAATAAGAGAAGCTAAAAGTGTGGCAGGATGTCAGTGAAAATGTAAATAGGTAGAATTTAGAAAGACAAAAGGTAAAGCAGAGAGGAAAAACAGAGGGGGGAAGGGAAGAGAGTAGAGCGGGGTGGGGAGGCCAAAAGGAGGCATTACAATGATAGAATACAAGGTAGAAAAGAGGCTGTCAGAGGCTGTCCCACTTTAAGCGCCTGTGAAGTAACCTAAATAACATTTTTCCCCCCAGGACAATCTGGGTTAATTTGAGTTAATTGCCATTCAAGCTGTCCGTGTAATCCACTGT